ACTTCTTAAATTCGAACCATTTGTTAACGAAACAACTGTTGGTGAAGTGATTGTTGACAAAATGAATCAATGTTTTACATTAACGTTTATTTTTTTACGTTATCAAATTCACGATTTTGATTGGTCGATCAACAATTGCGTAGATTAAAATTTTGTGTTGCCAGAACGGTCTCTCTTGTTATATGTAATAAATGATTGAATCAATTGAATCATGCATTTGTTTATTATTATAATGCTATGAAACACACGGCGCAACGGTATTTTTATTTTTTTGACATCTTGTATAACGTTGTATAATGATAAATGATTTCATGGTTTGAATGTGCTCACCATCTGTAAACTCGATTGCTTGAAGATGGACAGGGACGTCGTAGAAAGTTGAGTTCCGTGCACTGAAATGGCCTGAGAGGAATTTCTCTACAAAAAAAAACGAAAAAAAAATCTGGGGACGGCCGTTCTATTTGTATTTTTTTGAATTGATAAAATAGACTATTATTGTCTTGACCTGAGTGGTGTCGTTGTGTGAGTAAAAGACACGAAGCTCGCTGTCACGTTTTCGTTTAAAAGCTTGTTAGTAATTCTAATATTTCAAATAAATTACGACGGTATACAAATAATTAATAAATAAAAACAGATATCACGAAAGTAAATAAAATAAAATAATAATAAAAATTAAGAATTTCAGAATTAGTTAAATTCGGCTAAAAGAGCCTCCAAATCTAATTCTGGTAACATAAGCATGGCAAATCTTTTGATTTGAGTGTTGTATTCGTCATTATAATTTATATACATATGATTCTATGAAAAAAAACAAAATCGCAATTTCAAGTTTTAATTCTAAAAAAACTACTTTGTAAAACTTTGGGTATTAGTGGGGATTATGAAACTATATATCCAAAAGAATATTATTTAACAGTTATTTTTTAGTTTTATAAAAAAAAACAACATAACGGGAGGGGGTATTTTCTAAACTCATTTGTAGCGTATATGAATTGATCAACAAAAATTTCTAGAATCAATTTCCAAATTTGGAAAAAATCCTGACTGTTATATGGAAGTTATATGAGAACCTACACATTTGCAAATCATATATGTATAATTATATTTATAACCCCAATCATGTTTTCCTGATGCTTTGTTCTGTGATCTGACCTTCTATTATTCCATTCCCAAATATCATGAACATTATTTTTGTCTGTACATTCAACATATTTATCCCAATCCACATCTGATACTAACTTGTAGGGTAAACTGTGAATATTAAAGGTTAGGAAAAAAACACAGATCTGGCATTATGCATGAGCATGGTCTCAAGAACTTAGATAGCATCATCCCATTTGGCTTTTGGATGAATGTTCCACTAAAAGTTTTCAAAACTTTATAAGGTCATCACTATGAAGTGAAGTTGGACTAAAAGCCTCAAATAAGTTAAAAAAACAAAAACAAAAGGGAACTAATTCTAACAAAAATTTTTTTGCTAATGTATAAATAGTGAGTTACTGGTTTTGTTTATCAACTGGTGCTTGAGGTGTTGAAATACAAATATCATTTGGTTGGAATTTTTATATTGGACCTTTCTAGAATATCCCATTACTGTTAATTTTTTTTTGAGCAACTAGGAATTAAAAATAAATTTTCTAGCATTTTTTTTTTTGCCCATAGAATCAATGGTTTAACTTTATATTCAAAAACTTTTAACTTTCCAATACATTTTTTTTTATCCAGCCAGACACATGCTTCCACATAATATTAATATTTAGCAGATCATGCTGTGAATTTTGCATTAACAAAAATAGAAAATTCTGAACAATAAAAGTGTTAGAAAGTTATCCCAAGTTAATAAATCATGTAAATATTAGAGAAATTTTTTTTTATTTAAAAAATTGTTCATTTTTAAGTGTATAATAAAATAAAAATGCTAAGGCTTAGCCAATTTTTAGTTTAAGGAAAAATTTGGCTAATAAGTTTTGAAGCTTTTAAAATTAATATAAAAATTTTTTGATTTATATAGTATTTTGAAGTTGTCCAATTAAGCAATTAATTGATTATAGATGATCTGCACAGTAAATATCAAAATCAGGTGTGTAACACCGAACACTACGCGTATCAAAACAACTTTTTTTAGCAATTAAATTCAGTTTCAACGTATTAGCTTCTTTTACAATGCACTTGACAAACCATCAAAGGAAATTGAAATTTAAATACTTAAATTATTATAAGAATAATAGAATCAGTGACATCACAATTATTTGCATTGACCGAAAGATAACAAAAGAAATCATATTTGAACAAAGCTGCTGGTTGATTTTGATTTTTTAATTGCTGCATCATTAAAAAAAAAATAATGATAAAATTTAATAAGACTAGTATTCGAATAGTTCAAATGAATCAAATCAAGCATGGTTGGTATTTGGCCGCGGCCAAACAATTCCCTGGCTGCTTTACCTCCCCCCAAAAAAAGGACAAGCGGCCAAAAGTTTTTTAATTTCAATGACTTTGATGTATCGCCAAAACCACCCAAACGACCAATTTCCAACACTGAAATCAAGAAGAGTCAACAAATTATTATTATTGTAAGTAATATTAAAAAATATTTTTTGTGCTAAAGTGAGGCCTAATAACCATGTTTATTTATTTAATGATATTAATTGTAATATATATTTATTTTTGTAAAGAGTTTGGAAAAACGGCAAAGAAATCATATTTGATGTAAACCAACAGTATAAAATTTAATTTGTGGCAATAATTTGGTAATAGAAAATTAATTTATAGTAGTATAAAAATAACAATATTGGTAGAGTGTGTGTGTGTGTGGTTTTTTATAATCTTTGTATAAGAGCTTTTATAATAAAATATGTAATCATCATAATTTTTTTGAAATTTATCAATGCCACCAAAATCGTGTTCGGAAATCGTCTGCGTGGTGTGATTCGTTAATATTAACTGGGGATGTTAATTGCTTCGGTCGAGCATAATTAAACTGAGTTTTAAGAACAAATTCAATTAATATTTTTAATATCCGCTCGAAGCGCGCTTCAAATATGCTTTCAATTATACTTTAAAGATTACGTCATAAATAGTAGAATGTGCTCAAGAAAATTAAGGGTAAATAAATACGAATTACCTAACCCGTTTGAGTAATATATTACGTAACTCATGTTTCGAATTTGATTGCTCAAAAGCTTATTTTTAAAAAAAGTTCAATCTGCTTGAACTCTAAAACTAGGTTGAGCCGAACTGACGAGCAATTTAACATCCCTAACATTAACTTTATCTCGAGTTGCATGTAATTTAATACTACAAGATGGGCATTTAAATAAACGCATTTGACAATGTCTAAATTTATTTAGCAATTTAGTAAGACTGTAATATAAATTAAAACTGTGTCATATATTATTTGGACATTTAGACATTTGGTTTAAGTGCTAATATTAAGCCAATGGACCGTTATATACTGTATAACTCTCGGAAAATTGTATGTATAGAGACCTTTTTTTTTTTTCAAAGAGTATATTGTAGTATTAATTGCCACTTGTGATACGTATTGTTGTACAGCATATTTGGTTCGATTTGATTCGGTTTATTTATTTTTGATTTTTTTTGATTCGATTTGAATTTTTTTTTTTTTTTTTCTTAATATTAATTATTGTTATTATAAAAAATAACAGACAATGGATGAATGGATGGAACTTATGTCTAAAGAAAAATTAGAAGAAAAGGCGAGGAAATGGCAGCAGATGCAATCAAAGAAATATGGTGAAAAAAGAAAATTTGGATTTATTGAACATGAAAAAGCCGACATGCCACCAGAGCATATACGAAAGATTATTAAAGATCATGGAGATATGTCAAGTAAAAAATATAGGCATGATAAAAGGATCTATCTTGGCGCCTTGAAATATGTACCACATGCTGTTTTAAAATTGTTGGAAAATATGCCTATGCCCTGGGAACAAGTAATTAAAATTAATTTAATGATTGATAAAGATCAAACATTTCTTAATTTAATTTAATATATAATAATTTAATTATAATTTTGGTCAATGTAATCAGGTTAGAGAGGTACCAGTTTTGTATCACATTACTGGTGCAATCACTTTTGTTAATGAGATACCTTGGGTAATAGAGCCAGTATATATTGCACAATGGGGTACAATGTGGATTATGATGCGCAGAGAAAAAAGAGATAGAAGACATTTCAAACGTATGCGATTTCCACCATTTGATGATGAAGAGCCTCCTTTAGATTATGGTGATAATATTTTAGATGTAGAGCCATTAGAAGCAATTCAAATGGATTTAGAAGAGGATGAAGATGCACCAGTTTACGAATGGTTTTATGATCATAAACCTTTATTAGACACAAAATTTGTAAATGGTTCAACATATAGAAGATGGAAATTAAGTCTACCTATAATGTCAACTTTATATCGGTTGGCACATCAACTTCTTTCAGATCTTACAGATCAAAATTATTTTTATTTATTCGATTTAAAATCATTTTTCACTGCTAAAGCCCTGAATATGGCAATTCCAGGAGGTCCGAAATTTGAACCATTATATAGAGATATGGATACTGCCGACGATGATTGGAATGAATTTAATGATATCAATAAAATCATCATACGTCAACCTATACGTACCGAATACAAAATAGCTTTTCCATTTTTATACAATTCATTACCACGTTCAGTACATGTTTCATGGTACCATGAACCAACAGTTGTCTACATCAGAGCTGAAGATCCTGACTTACCTGCATTCTATTTTGATCCTATAATTAATCCTATTTCTTCACGTAACATTAATCCTCAAAATTTAAAAATATCACACGAGGATGAATTATTTGGTGAAAATAATGTCGATGAAGAATTTACATTACCAGACAATATTAAATCATTCTTAAAAGACCTACCTCTTTACACTGATACTACTGCTGATGGAATAGCACTATGGTGGGCACCTCATCCATTTAATAAAAGAAGTGGCAGAATGCGTCGTGCTGAAGATGTTCCTTTAGTTAAAAATTGGTATCTTGAACATTGTCCTCCTGGGCAACCTGTTAAAGTTCGTGTATCCTATCAGAAATTAATAAAATGTTTTGTGCTTAATGCATTAAAACATCGCCCTCCAAAAGCTTTGAATAAGAAATATTTATTCAGAAATCTCAAGTCAACAAAATTCTTTCAAACTACTGAATTGGATTGGGTTGAAGCTGGCTTACAAGTCTGTCGCCAAGGTTACAATATGCTCAATCTTTTAATTCATAGAAAAAATCTAAATTATCTACATTTAGATTACAATTTCAAGTTAGTAAATATATTTAATTAAAAAAAACCAAAATTTATTATTATTATTATTATTATTATTATTATTATTATTATTATTATTATTATTATTATTATTATTATTATTATTATTTATCATTTATTATTTTTACATTTATTCACTAATACAAAAAAATTAGTTTAAAACCGGTAAAAACTCTTACAACAAAAGAAAGGAAAAAATCACGATTTGGTAATGCTTTTCATTTACAAAGAGAAATTTTACGATTGACCAAACTTGTTGTTGACTCACATGTTCAATATCGTTTGGGTAATGTTGATGCATTCCAATTGGCTGATGGACTGCAATATATTTTTGCACATGTTGGTCAACTTACTGGAATGTACAGATACAAGTATCGTTTGATGAGGCAAATTCGTTTGTGTTTTAGGTATGCAAGGTTTTGATGTTTTATTTTTTATTTTTTGGTCAAACCAAATAATTCATTTTATTATTTTATTTTGATAATTAGTGGTGATACGGAAATCATGTTGTCTAGCGGTAAATTTAAACAGGCAAAGGATGTAACTATTGGAGATCGAGTTATGGGCGATGATGGTGATTATCGTCTTGTTGTTTCGCTTACAAGAGGTCATGGCGCTATGTATCGTATAAAGCATGTAAATTCAAAATCAAAATACATTCCTTGGGAAAATGATGGATTTGTTTGCAATGGTGCCCATCTTTTAGTACTCAAATCTAAATTCTATCCAATAATAAATGAAGATGAAAGCAGAAACTTAATCACCGTTAGTTACATGACATTTAATACTTATGACCAACAACTTGGCATAATTGTTCCAACAATATCAACCAAAAACATTTCCTATATTCGCCAATATGAATATAAGAATGCTTTACTATTTGCTAGTAATTTTGTAAAACAACAGCTTGAATTTATCAAAAATTACATTTGGGAAGTTTCTGTCGAGAATTATCTTAGATGCCAGGAAAAATATCCATTTATTGACAAATATATTAGAATGTATTATCGTCCTGTTTTAAAATTCCCTGATCCAAGTGCTTTAAACATCAAAAATTTGATTGAAGAATCATACAACGAAGCTGGTTTTTATGAAAATTATATCGATGAGTGTGAACTTTCATGGTTATTAGGTGCATGGTTAGGCAGTGGTGACCCATCAAAACCAATAATACATGTTCATCTAGACAATTCACAAGATGTAATATATAAATTAAAAGAAATTTCAAGTAAATTACAACTTAAGATGGTAATTACAAACACAATTGATGAATGTCTCAAGGGTATTATTTTAACTACTACAATGGATTCAACAAATATGCATCACACCATGAAATATGATGATTTTGAAATCCCTATCGTTGATAATGATAATTCAATGATTGAACCTATTCAGAATGAATGCAACAACATTTTCACTATTATTCTGAAACAATTGGGTCTTTTTGGAAGGAATAAATTGTTTGAAGATGATTTGATTTCTAATTTAATAAATCAATCAGAGAATTTTCGCCTCAATTTTTTGGCTGGACTTATTGATACTAGTGGTTATATTTCATATTATAAACCAAACCGTTGTTGTTACTTTGTCACTCAAGATAATAAATCTCTTCCACACATATCTCAACTTATTCGACAATTGGCATTTTCTTTAGGAATGAAGGTAAATTAATCGTAGATTGGATTAATAATTGATCATTTAAATTAAAAACTAACGTATGCTTGCTTAACCTTTTTAAAAAAAAAAAATTAATAGGCAACTAGACAAGAATTTAATGGCAAACATCTTCACAATAACTGTGAATCAACATGTACTGAATCTATCCGAATAAACATAAGTGGATCAATGATTAATGACATTCCTGTTGTAAATAATTATAAGCGCATACCCGAAGAACAAAAATGGAAAGCACACAGTAATAATTTGGACGAATTCTTTAAATTTGACATTGAATGTTTAGATGATGATGATTATTATGGTTTTGGAGTTGATGGAAATAATGAAAGAATATTATTGCGTAACTTTATAGTATCGCATAATTGCAAGGATTTGAAACATCTTATTTGTGAGTAAATTATAGTATTTCATATTCCTTTTTTTTGTTTGTGAATATAATTTTTATTTTTATTTTTTTAAATAGATTATCGGTTTAATACGGGTCCAGTTGGTAAAGGCCCTGGATGTGGATTTTGGGCACCATCTTGGAGAGTTTGGTTGTTTTTCATGAGAGGAATTGTTCCTTTATTGGAACGTTGGCTTGGGAATTTATTGGCTCGTCATTTCGAAGGTCGTCATTCTAAAGGTATAGCCAAGACTGTAACCAAACAACGTGTTGAATCTCATTATGATCTTGAACTTCGTGCAGCAGTTATGCATGATATATTGGATATGATGCCTGAAGGAATCAAAGCAAACAAATCAAAGACCATTTTGCAACATTTAAGTGAAGCTTGGAGATGCTGGAAAGCAAATGTTCCATGGCATATTGTTGGCATGCCTAAACCAATTGAAAATATGATTTTACGTTATGTTAAAAGCAAAGCTGATTGGTGGACAAGTGTCGCTCATTATAATCGTGAAAGAATTCGAAGAGGTGCAACTGTTGACAAAACTGTTTGCAAGAAAAATCTTGGACGTTTAACACGTTTGTGGCTGAAAGCTGAGCAAGAACGTCAACATAATTATCTTAAAGATGGTCCTTATATTACTGCAGAAGAAGCTGTTGCTATTTATACTTCAACAGTTCATTGGTTAGAAAGTAGAAAATTTTCTCCTATACCTTTCCCACCATTATCATACAAACATGACACAAAATTATTAATTTTGGCTCTTGAAAGATTAAAAGAAGCTTATAGTGTCAAGGGTAGACTTAATCAGAGTCAACGTGAAGAATTGGGATATATTGAACAAGGTACATTATTTTTTATTTGAAGAGTTTGTTTAAATTGATTAATTGATAGAATAAATTGATTATTTATATATCATTTCAATGTAATTTTTTAAATAGCATATGACAATCCTCATGAAGCTTTAAGTCGTATAAAACGTTTGTTATTAACTCAACGTGCATTTAAAGAAGTCGGGATTGAGTTTATGGATTTATACTCTCATTTGATTCCTGTGTTTGATGTTGAACCACTTGAAAAGATTACTGATGCGTATCTTGATCAGTACTTGTGGTATGAAGGAACTAAACGTAACCTATTTCCAGTAAGTAATCGTAATCATTATATATATTTATAATTTTTGAATAATTTATTTTACTAATGATATTTTAACTTTGGAAAATTCAGGCATGGATTAAACCTTCAGATACTGAACCACCACCATTATTGGTATACAAGTAAGCATATAAAATTTAAAAAAAAAATTTTTATTTAAATTAATCATTATTAATTATTTTGTTTATTGATGTTAGATTCTGTCAAGGAATTAATAATTTAACAGATGTATGGGACACTTCAGAAGGTCAAATAAATGTCATGATGGAGACTCAATTCAGCAAAGTCTATGAAAAGATTGATTTGACTCTATTGAATAGATTATTAAGATTAATATTGGATCACAATTTAGCAGATTATATGACAGCAAAAAATAACGTTGTTCTTAATTATAAGGACATGAATCATGTTAATGCATATGGCTTAATACGTGGATTGCAGTTTGCAAGTTTTATATTCCAATATTATGGTTTAATTCTTGATTTGTTGGTTCTTGGTTTGCAAAGAGCTTCTGAAATGGCTGGGCCACCACATATGCCAAATGATTTCTTACAATATCGTGACGTTGCTACAGAAACTAGACATCCAATAAGATTGTATTGTCGTTATATAGACAAAATTCATATCTTTTTCCGATTTAGCGCTGATGAGGCAAGAGATCTTATACAACGTTATTTGACTGAACATCCTGATCCTAATTCAGAAAATATTGTAGGATATAATAACAAAAAATGTTGGCCAAGAGATTGTAGGATGAGATTGTTTAAGAGTGATGTAAATGCAGGAAGGGCAGTATTTTGGGACATAAAAAACCGATTGCCACGCTCACTTACGACTATTGAATGGGAAGATACTTTTTGTAGCGTCTACTCCAAAGACAACCCTAACCTTTTATTTTCAATGTGTGGGTTTGAAGTCAGAATTCTTCCAAAAATCAGAAGTATCAATGAAGAATTTACTCTAAAAGATGGTGTTTGGAATTTGATTAATGAACAAACAAAAGAGAGAACTGCTCAGGCATTTTTACGTGTTGATGAAGAATCAATGCAGAAATTCCACAATCGTGTCCGTCAAATTTTGATGAGTTCTGGTAGTACTACATTCTCAAAAATTAGCAATAAATGGAACACTTGTCTTATTGGGTTGATGAGTTATTTCAGGGAGGCAGTTGTTCATACCAAAGAACTATTGGATATTATTGTAAAAGCCGAAAACAAGATTCAAACTCGTATTAAAATTGGTCTCAATTCAAAAATGCCAAGTAGATTTCCTTGTGTTGTCTTCTACTGCTTTGGAGAAAATACACCAGTAATGTTGAAGAACGGTTCGCTAAAAATGGTTCAAAATATTGAGATAGGTGATAAAGTCCTTGGCGAAAACCATATCGGATATAAAGTTGTGCATACAGTTAGTAACGAAGGACAATTATATTTGATCAAAGAACAATTTGGGCATTACATCAAAATAAATGATACTTATGCACGCGAGAATAAAATATTGCCTCTCAAAGATTCAATCTTTGATGAAGATGGATTTGTTTGTAACGAGAATCATATTCTTGTTTTGCGTCCAAATATAAAAAGTAGACTATATCCAGCATTTACTTGGGAGGTTACTGTAAAACAATATCTTAAATGGAAAAAAACATACCCTCATTTGGCCAATATCATGGTCCTTTATCGTTCGCCTCTTGTTGAATGGGCAGAATCTGTATTAAATCTGGAACAAATAATTGAGAATGCGTATTTGAAAACAGGAAATGAGAAACACAATCAACGAATTTCAGTGGAAGATTTATGTTGGTTGATTGGTTTTTGGCTTGGCAGCGAAAGCTTTAATATGCAATCAATAGCATCTGATGATAATGAATGCAAGGAACTTCAATTTGAGCTCAACAGAATCGCAAACAATTTGAATCTTTTAGTTCTTAGTGCAGACGAAGTTTCAGCTTTAAGTTTGGATGATTTAGATCAGGTATTGCATTTTGGATGGTTTGGCTTATTTACTGCAAATTATAAAAAATCATCTGTAAAAGAATACAATATTTTTTGGCAAATACTACTAGAGTTGGGAATTGCTGAAACAAAAAGTTGTACACAAGATCTTATTGTAGGACTCACTACTCAGTCTAAATCATCTAGAGAGAATCTACTTGGTGGGCTAATCGATTCAAGTGGTTCTTATTGTTTTGATGATGATATTGATGGTCATTACAGCATTCTTCAAAGATTTGACCAAAAAGTCGACGTGTCATGTATAAAGCTTGCAAGACATGTAGCTAGATCTTTAGGATTGAATTCAGTTGGATATTCATACAATGATAACCCAAAACTTGAGACAAAATCTCACAATACAATACTTTTATATATTGGTGGTTTAGGAACTGAAGATATTAAATGTAAATTGAAGAAGGAAAAGAGCACAGAATTTTGTGATTTGGAATTCATTACATTCAACCAAGGATTTACTTGTAAACCATATAAACATGGCAGATATTATGGTTTTACGCTTGAAAGCCCATCAAACGGTCGTTTTATAATGGGTGACTTTATGGTTGCACATAATTGCCCAAAAGAGCTTGTATGTAATTTTTTTATTAAATTAATCATATAGATTTCTTTATTTATAAATTCATAATTAAATTCTTTTTTTTTTTTTTTGATAAAAAAATTTTGTAGGGTGGACTTGGTATGCTTAGCATGGGGCATGTACTTATTCCACAATCTGATCTCCGTTGGTCTAAGCAAACTGAGACTGGAATTACACATTTTCGATCTGGTATGAGTCATGAAGAAGATCAATTAATACCAAATTTATACCGATATCTTCAACCATGGGAAGCAGAATTTATTGATTCACAACGTGTTTGGAGTGAATACGCTTTGAAAAGACAAGAAGCAAATTCACAAAATAGAAGATTGACTCTTGAAGATTTAGAAGACAGGTATGTTAACTTTCTCAAATTAATTAATTTGTATGAATCTATCAAGAATATAATTAATATTTATATGATTTATACAGTTGGGACAGAGGCTTGCCACGTATCAATACATTGTTTTCTAAAGATCGGCATACTCTTGCATATGATAAAGGATGGAGAGTCAGAACAGACTTTAAACAGTATCAAGTACTCAAAAACAACCCATTTTGGTGGACACATTCAAGGCATGACGGTAAACTTTGGTCACTTAACAATTATAGAACGGACATGATTCAAGCATTAGGTGGTGTTGAAGGAATTTTAGAACATACACTTTTCAAAGGTTTTTTATGCATTATTTACTTTATCTATTTTAATTGAGAATCGATCTTTGTAATTTCATATTAAAATCCTCTTTTAAAAATTTTTTTTTAAAAATAGGCACATACTTCTCAACATGGGAAGGTCTGTTTTGGGAGAAAGCATGTTTTGCACGTGGCACTAAACTACTGAATAGTAAATTTCAAACAGTGAAAGTCGAAGATTTAAAAATTGGTGACTGTCTCATGGGTGATGATGGCACGCTTCGCACAATCCTTGATCTTTCTTATGGATATGATCGTTTATATAAAATCGAATTAAATGAGGGCGAACCATTGGTCGTAACCGGAAATCATATTCTTGTATTTAAAGCAGATTCAGATGCAAAAGGTGTTCATTATGGTCAAATGAAGGAAGTTACTGTGGAGGAATATAACTCTTGGAATGCTGCTGACAAAAAAATCTGGAAATTATTTTATAACGATGTACTCAAATTTGAAAAAACAAATGTGCCAATTGATCTTTGTCTATTAGACGATAAAAAACAATTTAAACGTCAAGATAATTTATTGACTACAGAAATCAAGAGAGTTGAGAGAATGAGTTATTTTACAGAATATTTTGGTTTCAAAGTTGATGGAAACCAACGTTTCTTACGTGACGATTTTCTAGTCCTACATAATTCTGGATTTGAAGAAAGTATGAAATATAAGAAATTAACCAACGCTCAACGTTCGGGTCTTAACCAAATTCCTAATCGTAGATTTACACTTTGGTGGTCACCAACCATCAACCGTGCAAATGTCTATGTTGGTTTTCAAGTACAATTGGATCTTACGGGAATTTTCATGCACGGAAAGATTCCAACATTGAAAATATCTTTAATTCAAATCTTTAGGGCACATCTTTGGCAAAAAATTCATGAAAGTGTCGTGTTTGATTTGTGTTTCGCTGCGGGAACAAAGATAATGATGGCCAATGGTTCATTTAAAAAGGTCGAAAAAATTTGTGAAGGGGATCAATTACTTGGTGACGATGAAAAGGCAAGAACTGTTACAAATTTAATTCACAACACCAATGGAAAACTTTTCAAAGTAAAATACAAACATAAAGGAGACAAGATTTTATGGGATGAAGACGGTTTTATTTGCACTGAAAACCATATTCTTGTTCTTAAAGCACCTAGATTTGAAAAGGTTGAACAAGGAAATTCCGAACATAGAGAATTTGATATATTGGAAATATCGGTGAAGGACTATCTTATTTTACAACAATACCTAAAACCTTATACTGACAGCTTTAGAATGTATAGAGTCCCAATTTTAAATTTCCCAGGTCCAAAGAGATGTAATTTGAATGATGTAATCGAGAATGCATATTTTGAAGCAGGGCTTGAAGTTTATGATAAAATCACAGAGGACGAATTTGGATGGTTACTTGGCTTTTGGCTTGGCAATGGATTCTACAATCAACCAGCATTTTGTTTAGGAGATATTGACAATAAAGAAATTTTAGATAAATTATATGAACTAGCCTTTAAGTTGGGACTATATGTTATTCTTCCACAAGACGATGACTTCAATAATATGAGTAGATGTTCCGTTAAACCAATACTTTTATCAACAGCTAGTGGCTCGTTTAATTATCAAGATTCACCTTTTAGACATGAGTATGAGGTTTTGGGATCTAATTCTATTGAAAATCAAAAAAATATTTTCATCCAACTCTTGAAATATTTTTCAATTTATGAAAATCAACACAAAGAGATTTCAGATGATGTATTAACAAAATTAACCAACCAAAGTCTCACATTTAGATTGCAAGTTCTTGCGGGTCTTATTGACGCAGATGGTTACAAATTACAAAGTAAAAATACTTATAAATATTATTATTATTTACATAAATATTCAGAGGATGCATCAATAATCCGACTTGCTCGTCATTTTGCGCGATCAGGTAAAGATTAACTTTATTAATGTAATTTTATCATAATTTATTTAACAAATAACCTAAAAATAAATATTTAATTCGTGGTTTTTAGTTGGATTCCAATGTATTGCGTACGAAACGACATATTCGGTTCCTAATGAAAGTAACTACTATGATGATTTAGAGCAGAAATTTATAATTTATGATACAAATATTACCCAAGAACAGGCAGTAATTAGTATTGATATTAAGGGTGAAGGTTTAGGAGATATTCCATGTATTATTAAATCAAAAAGAATAAATCGCAGCAGAAACAAGCAGGAACACATTGTAATGAATAGAGCAGCGACATTAGAGTATGAATTTGACATTATTGAAATAGAACCTGGTGAATATTACGGTTTCCAAGTAACCGGAAGTAATCAACGGTTTTTACTTGGAGATTTTACAACATCTCACAATTGCCAAGTATTTGATGGTGAAATTGAAAGCTTACAGATAGATATGGTACAGAAAGAAAGTATCCATCCAAGAAAATCCTACAAAATGAATTCATCTTGTGCTGATATTTTATTATTTGCTGCCTACAAATGGAATGTATCTAAACCATCACTATTGAATGATACTAAAGACACAATGGATGGTACTACTACTTCTCGATGGTTTGTTGATGTTCAACTTCGATTTGGAGACTACGATTCACATGATGTATGTATACTAAATTTTTATTTTATTTAAATTATTTTGAGTTAAATTATTTATGCCAATAACATTTTATTTCTATAGATTGAACGTTATACCAGAGCCAAGTTCTTAGATTATTCAACAGATAATATGAGTATCTATCCATCACCATTTGGTATAATGATTGGTATCGATTTAGCATATAATTTACATTCTGCATATGGACATTGGATTCCTGGTTCCAAGACTTTGATCCAGTCTGCAATGGCAAAAATCATGAAAGCGAATCCAGCATTATATGTTTTACGTGAACGTATAAGAAAAGGTTTACAATTGTATTCGTCCGAACCCACTGAACCTTATTTATCATCACAAAATTATTCTGAACTTTTTTCAAATCAAATTATTTGGTTTGTTGATGACACCAATGTCTATCGAGTCACAATTCATAAAACATTTGAAGGAAATTTAACAACAAAACCAATTAACGGAGCAATATTTATTTTTAATCCAAGAACTGGACAATTATTCTTAAAAATTATTCATACTTCAGTATGGGCTGGTCAAAAACGTCTTGGACAACTTGCAAAATGGAAGACAGCAGAAGAAGTGGCTGCTTTAATCAGATCATTGCCAATTGAAGAACAGCCTAAACAAATCATAGTCACTAGAAAAGGAATGTTGGATCCTCTAGAGGTGCATTTACTTGATTTCCCAAATATTGTAATTAAAGGTAGTGAACTTCAATTACCATTCCAATCATGCTTGAAATTGGAGAAGTTTGGTGATTTAATTCTTAAGGCAACTGAACCTCAAATGGTAAGTTTATTTATTTACTTTTAATAGCTAATTAATTATTTTATTTTTTAATATTATTAACAATAAATTTACATGTTTGTTTAGACACTTTTCAATTTATTTGATGATTGGCTTAAATCCATTTCTTCATATACAGCATTTTCACGTCTTATTCTTATTTTACGTGCATTACATGTAAACACCGACAAGACTAAAATGATTTTAAGACCAGATAAAAATACCATAACTGAACCGCATCATATTTGGCCAACATTAACAGATGAAGAATGGATAAAGGTTGAAGTCGCATTGAAAGATTTGATACTGGCAGATTATGGTAAAAAGAACAATGTGAATGTTGCTTCGTTAACTCAATCAGAAATACGTGACATTATCCTTGGTATGGAGATCTCTGCACCATCTCTTCAAAGACAGCAGATCGCGGAAATTGAAAAACAAACCAAAGAACAATCACAGCTAACAGCTGTCACTACAAAAACTCAAAATATTCATGGAGATGAAATGATTGTCACAACTACAAGTAATTATGAACAGCAAACATTTTCATCGAAAACTGAATGGCGTGTAAGAGCAATATCGTCAACAAATTTACATTTACGTACAAATCATATTTATGTCAATGCTGAAGATATAAGAGATACTGGTTATACTTATGTATTACCAAAGAATGTTTTGAAGAGGTTTATACAAATAGCAGATCTTCGTACACAAATAGCAGCTTATATGTATGGAATATCGCCTCGTGATAATGCACAAGTTAAAGAAATTAGAGCTCTAGTCATAGTACCACAATATGGTACACATCAAACGGTCAATTTGCCTAATATGGTGCCAGATAATGAGTATCTAAAAGATTATGAACCATTAGGTCTTATTGTCACTCAACCATTTGAAACTGCACAATTATCACCAACAATACTCTCTTTACATGCTAAGTTTGTGGCAGAAAATAAAAATTGGGATGGTGATAAAACAATAACAATGACAGTTAGTTTTACACCAGGATCATGTTCTTTGACTGCTTATAAATTAACACCAGCTGGGTTCGAATGGGCACGTAATAATAAAGACACTTCACCTAATCCACCAGGTAATTTTTTTAAAAACAAGTTTTAAACCTTTGGTAAAAATTAACTAGCTAGCTAACTTTTAATTATTAATTTTTCCATTATACAAATATGTTAGGTTACTTGCCTACATTTGCAGAAAAGGTTCAAATGTTATTATCAGATCGGTTCATGGGATTCTTCATGGTTCCAGAGAATGATATCTGGAATTATTCATTTATGGGTCCATCACATTCTCCTACTATGAAATATTCTCTTAAACTAGATATACCAAAGGAATTTTATCATGAATTGCATAGGTATGTATATGTTTCTTATATATATATATATATTACTTATTGAAAAAAAAAATTATCATCTAATTAAAAAAAAAATTACTTTTATAAAATTTAGGCCACAACATTTTATTAATTTTAGCTCTTTAGAAGAAGATATTGATGCAGATCGTGATGATGTTTTTGCATAATTTTACTTTCGATGTAAATAAAAATATTTAATTATATAGAAATGTTTGTTTGAATTAGTATAGAAATTTTTTTTGATGGGTAAAAAATAAAGTTTTTGGGAAATATTTATAAGTTTAATTTCCGTATATTTTTTCAATTAGTGAAGAATTGCTTCATCTTTTATTTTCATATTCATTATAACTATTAACATTGTTTTCGCCAGAATTGCGGTACTTGCGGACATTTCAATATTTACAGTATTTACGTGTACAATCTTTACATTACAGAGTCGCTCAACTAAATTAGAGTATTTCTCGTTGTTTTATTTTTAGATGATTTAATTTGGTCAAAAATTGAACTTTAGGACATTGGAGTTATGAATGAATATGTGATTGTTTTTATGTTTTATTTTTACATAACATTGATCAAAAATCAAAAATTTTGTCATAATAAATGCGACAAAGATTATACTTAATTATTAATAATATTGTTCTTTATTATGTACTCGTTGCTATATTTTAGATTATTTAATTTGGTCAAAAATTGAACTTTGGGACACTCGGAGGATGGTTTTATATTTTATTTTTACATGATATTATTCTTTATCACATATTCACCTTGTTTTATTTTTAGGTGATTTAATTTGATAATTGAATGTGACAGATTATATTTTTAATTATTTGAAATTAAAGGACATTTTGAAAATTGATGAATGGTAAAAAGTTGAATAATTTTAAAAGCAACAGCAATGGTAATAATAATAAGTTAATTGATTTTAGCAAAGTTTTCATATTCATTTTTTATAATACCTAGAAAATATTGACGAATTATCATACCTGATATTACAGCTACGATATTTCGCATCATGACCAAACAATAAACCTGTACGGTATTAATTAAATGTGCATTATACAAATATACACATATTGCTACATGATCCTCGTAAAGAATTGTAATAAAATCAGCACGTTATGTAAATCTACTAACAATAAGTTTGAAAATGCATACTCCAACAAATAACCAAGTTACTGCTATATCCGGTGGAATCAAGTAAATTCCAAACAAAATAGCGATAAGACCACCATCGATAATTGGAGTTAAAGAAAGTAACTTTATGTAAAAAATTTTTATTAACATAAAATCCCTAGGCGTTGTAATTACTGCATCAAAAGCTTGCATATCGTAAAGTTCCAAAACAATTTTCTATAAGATCGTGACGATTAATATAATAAATTGTGCATGACAAACTATAAAAGGAAATGTAATGGAGTGCTATATTTTGGAAGTTTACGGTAATATTAACCATGGGTATAGAAAAATATTTGATTACTCCTCCATATTTTTTTAAATATCTTATATAGTATAATAATAACTGTTGCAGTCAATGCGATGATAACAACGATGAGTATATTTGTATGAAATACCTAAATAGAAAAAAAATCGACGAAAGTACTAACAATTTTAGTTTATTATATAAATAAATTTATAATTATAACTAATGGTGAATGCCTTCTAAGCAAACTTACTCCTATTTTTCCTCTTAAATAAACTGCTTTCAAAAACCCAACTTTTGCATCATTAGAGGGCCTATCGTAAGTTCTTCGTTCTCTTCGATCCAAACTTTTTAATACTTTTTGTAGTTCTGCATTCGTAGATTCTGGTAAATATTAATGAATAATAGTGAAAAATGATAAACTTCATTTTCAATTAAATTAAACATATTAACAATTTGTCTTAAATAATTATTATTATATAAAGATTCAAAAAATACTTGGTAAATAGTTTTACGTGATCCTTTATCTACTGATATGTTTTCGTCTAATATGATTGCGCAATTTTTTTAAAAATCGATTTCCAAATTTGGAATATATAACATAATGCAGTAAATATAAAGCCACGTTTATGAACGAATTGCGAATATTGCGAATATTGTTAATATTACAAATTATTAATTTGAAATAATAATGTGTAGGTTTCTAATTTATAAAGGAAGGGCTTCGATTAAATTAGCACACGTAGGTTTTTATATTATAGTGTATTTTTTTTTAAATAATAATAAATTATAAGTAAATTATATTTATAATAATATAGTTAATTACTAGACCAGCACATTCTATAATTAACCAATCTTTTGACTCAAGGTTAAGAATTGAGTCAAGGCTTAACGGTAGGTAATCTATATGATGACTATTGTTTATTTATACTTTAATAAAGACATGACCAATACCATATAATTAATTTTTTGTAGGTGATGGATTTGGTGTAGGTAAAATTAGAAATTTGTAATTTTGAATTTTTCAAAAAAAAAATCACCAATTCCATTCAAAATAATAATAATTGTTGTCATCATATCACAACTTAAGGTTGGTACGAAGCTCATAATCAAGAGTCAGAACAAATTGAATCACCTTGTATATTTACATCTGTTACACCTGCATGGAACAACAAGAATTTATCAAGATTAGCTGAAAAAATAAAGAGTCATTTAGTATTTGCACATGTCAGAGCTTCTAATTCTGGTGCTTTATCAGAAACAAATTGTGTGTAATTTTACCATTCTTATGCTTTATTGTTACAGACTGTATAGCTAATTATAGATTATTATGATTATAATTGAAGGTCATCCATGGCAGTATGAAAGTTTAATGTGGATGCACAATGGTCATATTCAAGATTTCTATAAGGTAATTTATTTGTAACTGATTGATTGGTTGGTTGGTTGGTTGGTTGGTTGGTTGGTTGGTTGATTGCAGCTTGGTATAATTAATCAACTCTAAATAAGTTAATATACTCTTGGATTAAGCTTATCTCAATTAAACACACAATTTGATATTATCTTTTATTGATAGATTAAAAGAAAGTTAGTTCAATCTTTAAAAGAAGACATTTTTTTATTTGTCCAAGGAAACACTGATTCAGAATGGGCCTTTGCATTATTTCTAAATCAAGTTAGTATTTGAAATCTGAGGATATGGTGTTAAAATTCTGCTTATTGATTTATTATTACTAATAATAAAATAGTTAACAGATCCAAAGAATGGACCATTTGACCATGAAATTCTGAGAAATGCAATGTTAAAAACTATCCAACAATTAAATATTTGGGCTGAAGAAGAAGGAATTATTGTATAAATAATTATATTCTTTTCTTTTGTTTCACATATTAAATGTTTATCTGATAATATAATTCTTAATAATCATCTAAATGAATATTAGGAACCGTCCTTGTTGAATTTTGCAGTGACAGATGGATGTTCTGTTGTTTGTACTCGCTACATCAATTGTAAGATGAGAGAAGCTGCTTCATTGTATTTCTCATCTGGTAAACTTTATCTGTTGATTATTCTCATTACAGTAACCATATAATCAATAATAATAATAATAACAACAATATAAATATTGTAGGGACAAGTTTTATGGAATATAAGCCTGGACATTATAAAATGGTACAAATATACACTTGTATATTCTAGCAGATTTTACTGATTAATTATTTAATCATTAACGATGCATGTGAATTTAGTTTAAAGCCGATAAAAGAGAAGACATTGTACTAATAGCATCAGGTAAATCAATAATATATTTATATAAATAAATAAATGAATAATTTTATTTACAACTTTTTTTATGTTTTAGAACCTTTGACATTTGAGAAGGCGGATTGGTTAACCATACCATCAAATACTTGTATAGTTATCACTCCTAAATTAAATGTTTTGCTATATCCTATCAAAGATCAATTCTACACTCTCGACAGATCAAAAAGAAAACCAATCAATCAATCTTCTTAAATAAAGTTAGAGGAGTTGTTTAACACATACCCTTTTTTTTAATCCATCTCATATAAATCAAATCATTACTAATCCATTTTCAAAAAACCATTTACAATGAACAATATGTAATAATAATAAACATAATAATAATAACAAATGAACATATTAATATTTACACTATCAAAAATTTCAGGTTTCAAAGCATAATTAGTGATAATCCAACACCTACAATGACCAATACTATACCCACAAGTCCATAATGATGCTTACTTTGTGCCTACACATTCGCCTAATAAAATAATAATATTATAAGTCTGTCGTCAGTTGCTGATGGTTTAAAGAAGGCATATCTTATTATTACATCAACCCCCACAGATATAATGATGTCTGATCAGGTATCATGCCAATTGGTTCTTTTAATAGCTTTAGATTCGATTAATAGCAGACAGCACCAAAATGGTTATTAATTAGATTTATAGATATAATTTGTATTAATTCTTTTTTTTTAGCATCAATTAGATTGATATTATAAGAGTGCATTCTGAAACACATTTATATTATTTGATTATAATATGAATCAATATGTGCTTTTTACATATTTACATGAATAAATTTTGTATGATTAAAAAAACCACCGATTTTCAAACTGCTAGCATATGTTCGCTTGTCTCTTTTTACCCTCTTACGAAATTGTTGTTTACATTTTGCATATAACGGATTAGGAAATATAAAATATGATCAAGTAAAATTTTCATTTATGCACTCGTAAAGTGTTGAATGAGCTGTGGAATGAACTTCTCAACTTTTACATCAAGAAGAACTAACATTTAAAGACTTCATCATAAAATAACAACAGAATAAAATAAAATAATAATCAATTCAGTTAAGTTGGTATCTAATAACTTTCATAAAATAAAAAACCAAACCTTCAAATTTTTTTTTTTTTAAAAATTCATGTGAAAACATCTAATGTTTGTGTTATTTCCACTTTTTTTGCCCACTCGCTTTATCTTATTTTTCCATTATTTAAATAAAAATGTATCCAATTATTTTAATGAAAATGAAAGATTATTAAATAAAGAAATTCTTTATGATGTAAAAATATATGTTGGCATAGAACCAAACATCAAAGAAATTCATGCACATAAAACTTCAATTATTCTTCATTCATCAAAGAAATTATTTTAATATATATTATTGTAAATATTGCTATTTATGAAAATAGAATTTTAAAATTCTATTATGATGTTAAGGTGATGATAAGGTTGATTGAAGACTAGACTTATAATATTTTTGTATTTGCAAATGTTTGACATGTTCTTGTTGGTATTTATTCTCAAGAGAATCAAGAAGCTTCATAGTGAAATGAATATATTGTGTGTTAAAACAAGCTATTCACTTCATATTTCATAATTATATCCATCCTAATTTTGTGAAAATGACATAGAAGTAAACATACCCTTGCTTGATCCAAAAATTTTTATTATTAATTTTGTTATTACGAAGTGCATCTTCAAGACATCTGGAATACATCATCTCAGGGTTGGCAAACTGACTGGTCCATTGCCATTAATAAAATACTAAATATGGTTAAAGTATTACACTAATGAACTCAATAGACCACCAATGGACCATCAATGGACCGCATATTTGCCAACCCTGCATCATCTTAATGAACCTTTTCTTGATGCATGTTCACGAAAAGTTGTATATGACCACTCAGTTGCTTTTTCCTCACAAGCCCCTCATTCTCCTCAACCTTTTACAATTTATCCTCTTTCTAATTAAATGTTCCATCACAATCTCCTCTCGAAAAAATCTAAAATTGATCTATAAAATCTTTTAGACTTGCTATTCAGTTCCTTGCCCTTGTCATATTTTCGGTATTTGTCTCTCAAAGGTGTTTCCGAACTTAGGACAAGAAGGAAATATAAACTAGAATGACAACAACCACCATTCTTTTAATAAACACTTATCTAGTAATCTTGGGAACGAATTCTTTTCTTCTTTTTTTGATTGAAAAAGACATGATTGAAAAAAAGAAGATTGTTTTTTTCTTTTTACGATGAGGTAATTTTATTTGCTGTAAGACAATGAAGATACATGAGTTACATAAAAAAGAAAAAGACTGCCCTCTAGTAAACTAATCAGTTCACTATAAAACCAACCTTTCACCGTTACCTACTAAATCAGGCCCAAAAAAGGTATTTAAGATTTAAGCACCTGATATTCAAACGTAGATAAAAGCAAATGGTTATTATCCATTATAATAATCTAAAAGGAAACCACCTGATGCAATTGCATATTCTATACCCTCAGAACCATTTGATAAATTGTTTGTATCTCTATTTTAGAGGAGTTGTTAGTAGGATTTTTATTGTATTTCTTTTAAAAAAAGAAAATTGTTATTTCGTAGGCAGAAGTTCGTCTGATTGGCTAATTTTGCTGATCAAATTCAATCGAATTCGCATATTATTTATATAATTTAAAAAATAAAAATTATTACAAAAGCCTTTAAAATAATACTGACGTTCACTGTGCAAAAGAATAAAAAAAAAAACATACTCCCGACATACTTTACTTAGAAGACAAAAATGCCATTTACTAGTGGTATTACAGGTAAGGTTGTGGGCGAAACCTCTTAGTAATTGCTGAAACCATGGCAAAACTATATTAAATCTTATCAAAAATCCTGTTGAAACTATGCCGAAATGGTGAAACCTCAAAATGCGGAACTCTGCCGAAACTCTAATAAACAATTAATGTGAAACCCTGCTGATTGATTTCTGGAGGAGTTTCGGCAAGCAACCTTAATTACAGGATCATGTGCAATCACTATATGCAAGAGACAGTCCTCCAATTGGAGAAAGGTGACTGAATATGTTATTTCCAAAGGTCAAACTAACAAACCTTTTCCAGATTATATTCAACTAGGGATACAATTTGTTTAAAACTGTTATAATGGAATCATAACAAGAAGTGCAATTGAATGCATTAGAACAGTCCCATCATAATTAGCCAGAAATTTATACAGAAACTTCTAGTAAAGATAATAATAATTTAACTTTTTCACAAGCAGTAAGGATATTCTCAATTTAATGATGATGACTTTAGGAAACTTTGTTTACGCTTCATCTTGGGAGTTTTCTCGGAATATTGAAACTTTGACATGAAAAATAGCATCTGGATTGTTTTACTGATATCTATACTTGTATCAATCATAGGAAAATCGATTTTTAATCCCACCACAGGTTTCTATGAAACGCCCATTGAGAAGGAAGTGCTAATGTAAGAAACAGTATTCCTATTCCAGCAATGAAGATGAAGGAAGCATGGCTTTGTCATCTACCTTTAGGGTACAGCTCTTCGCATAAGCTTAGTTTGTATGGTTGTGATTCTTCTAATTGTTTTATTACTAAAACTATAATCACTGAAGAAACAGCCATGTGGCCATGCATATCATAACGCATGTTTTAACTAAGATGGGTCCAAGTGCTTACATTGCTTAGATTTTATTAAGGGTGGTGTTGGTAAACATGTTCAATCACTTCTAAAAGTTTATATCAAATTAATTTGAATAGTAATGCTGAAGGTGAAGGTCCCGATTCTATTCTTGAAGGTGGTAGTGATGACATTAAAGAATTTGCAGATGACATTTTAGTCCCATGAGATGATACAATATGGTGATTTCTTCGGCTATAGTTTTTTTGTTTGATTACTATTATAAGAATTTTAATTGAATTTTATTTTAATATCATCCAATAAAATTGAACCAATTAAATTACAAAGATTAAGAAATGATCTACAGAAAATCAGCCAAACATACCAACTTCTGCCTATGAATTGTTATTTGATTGACAAACGCGTACACGTTAATTATTTATGGTTTTTTTTTTGTTGACACGAATTGATTGATTTTTTTTCTTGGAAAAACAATTTATTTTTCAGATATGGCAAAACATGAATCTCCTGTTAATGAAAGAGGTACTTTTTTTTATTTGCCTTGATATAATAATAACGTGGTGTCCTTTTTAGTTTATAAATATTTTAAATGGAATCAAAATGCAGAGTAAAACTTGCTGGGTAAATTATAAGAATCTTGATGATGATAAATGAATGATTGGTATTTTGCTTCGTGTAAACAGTATCAATATTAATATATATAAATATATATATATAGTTACAAGATGTCAAGGCAGCATGACTGACTGTTGCAGAAGAAACATTCCAATATGCAATGTTTGATTATTAGGAAATTACTAGATTAGCAGATATTGAAGCATGCATGCAACCATGAACACTTTACAGTCATTCTTACACATTCCTTGTGTACAAAGGCTAATCTAACTATGTCGTGGCTCCAGTGATACAATGATGTTGTTAATTTTAGGGGGGGGAGTAGCCCTGGGATGTATTTGAAACGGTAGAAACTGAATCAATATACTAAACTGCATCAATTGTCTGACACTTTCACTAATCTTTCTCGCTGTACCCAGACCAGAGGAGGCTGTTATCATTCTGGCTGAAAGTTGCCTGCAACGTTTCTAACCCTAAGGTAAGGATGGCTCTGTGACCAAGTTGTATTTTGAAAAGTTGTGATATTAGGTGTGCATATTCTTATTGCTTTGATGGATCTGGATGTATATGCAACGTATTTTAAGCACAGGAGGTCACAATTTAGAACAGGATTGATGGCCCTGAAATTGGAATTAGGCTCTGATGTTAAGAGAAAGGCTGTTTAATACTAACCAATTTATAATTTTAGGTAGGGGCTGAATGGGGTTTTGCCCAATTAGTTACTTGTTATGTAGATTAAAATAGAAACTTTGTTTTAGTGAGAGAACTATAACACAAAGCAAGCATCATGCAAACACTAAATATCAGGTGACCAATGCCCATGGTAACAGCCAAGCCTGGTCTGAGAAGAAGATTAAATCTGACGCCTGCAAATAACATCAGATTTATTATTCATAAAGAACTACAATTGATAATTAGGTAAAATAATTTATTTTGTGAACCTAAAGATCTGGGTAGAAACACATTATTTTTATGCATGGCCTTGGTATTATCATTACTCGGGTGATGCAATTGTTTGTTATGCCAATTATAACATCAAATGTATTGGATGATAATCATGAATATTTGATGGATGGAGGCATTCACATGCAAGGAAATGATTAAACAGCCAAGTCATGTTTGTTTTATTAAAGATATATAATTAATTATATTTAAAATATACAATAAAAAAATTGCAAGGCTACACCACTATGTCAATCAAGCTATCAAGCTGTTATGTTTATGCATGATTTAAAATTCTTTTGTGCTAATTTGGGGTCCCATGCTTATATATAATTTATTGGCTCTCTTTTTACTGGTTGAATGATGCCAAATTGGTAATGGGGTATCAGTAAATATTAGAATCTGATAATTCTTTAAAAAAATAATCAAGGTATTGGCATACTGATAAGCTATTAATATTCTTAGTATTTTTATCGTATAGTCTAATAAACTAATAGCTCTTTTATATTGTAATTAAGTTATTGGTTAAATGTTTCTAAAGCTCTTTGTACTAAAATAATATCATATCTCTAGTAGTAGTTAGGATTTCTATTTGAATAAGGTTTATTTTGAATAAATGAATAATTTGAGTAAAAAATAATTTAAGCAAAAATAAAGTAAATAATTTGAGCAAAAAATAAAACGAATAAAACGAATAAAACGAATTTTGCATTACAAATAGAAACCATGCATTAATATTAAAATCAAAAAAACAAACAAATAGCTTTTCTTGCAAGATAATCGTGTAAAAAATTTTTTTTTTGTTACATCAATCACAGTCCAAAATCAATCATATTTGTTTTTAAAGTTTCTTTATTTATTTTTTTGATAAATAATAAATTTATCCTTTGTTTATTTGTTTTAGTAGATTTTATTAGATCAACTAGAAGATTTGTCTTCTGGAAAAAGAGCTAAATTCATTCGACCATTACAATTTGGTGAAAGTCAACGCAGCAAAAGGTGTTTTGGAAATTAAAGATGCTATTGAGTTAAAATCTGGTAGTGAGTAATTTGTGGAGCTAACTAATTAATTGTTTTATATTATAAACAACATATCATATAGACTTACAGTAAATGCAATTATCAATTGCACAAACTATATATAAAAAAATTATAAAAATTTTTTTTATAAACTAACAATCTTTTCTAGCAAAGATTACACATATCAATCTTGTAAATTCTTTTTCTGCAATTATTATTAATATACCATCATCGTTAACTAATAACTCTTAAAATTTACAAGATTTGTATACTTGGCATTTCTTTTGAGGCATGTGCTCTTTTGGCTGAAATTAACTAATTCCAAAATTCTTTAATAAAGTTAAATAAATTACGGCGTTATACAAATAATTAATAAATAAAATAAAAAAATTAAAATTAAAGAAGAATCGTCTTCCAATATGGGATATTCGTCTCAATTTTGAGATATTTATTGCAATAGCGGGTAAAATCGGTCGGTATTTTGTTTGTTTGTTTGTTACTTGTTGATAACGAATAATTAGATAACCACCAATTTTATCAATTTGATAATCAGATTTTCAACATAATATTTATTGATTTCCTTTTTTTTTCCGCTCGAAAAAGCATTAACAAAATGACTCAAAGGTAATTATTATACTAAATAATGTTAAAATTACGAACCATTAATTAATTTATTAAACTAAATATACCATTAGTTCTAATCTTGTCTTGACAGACAAGGTCTCTGGGACCTCTTGGAACTTACCTTCTCCAGAAACAGGTGGAAAGACTTCACCTCCAAAACCTACTGGTGTTATAATATTACCAAGAAAGTAATTGATTGAAAAAAATTTTTTCACATATGCTTATTATTATTTATAATGATCCATGATTAATTAACTCACAATTTATTGTTTTAAAATAAAGTCCAAACACACAATCTCTTACAGTTTTAGATAATAGAACAAATAAAATTTATGAAGTTCCAATTGAGAACAATACAATACCTGCTCTCAAATTCAAGGAAATGACAGCAGATCCAATACCAAATTCTCGCGAGGAGGATGAAAGTAGTAAAGGTTTAAGGTTTGTTCTATTTTTTTAAAAAGTGCATCCCCTCTGAATGTGCGTGCTCTCACCCAGTTTGATGGGGGTGTACTTAGAGGGGGGTTGGCTCTAAACTGATTTTTATAGAAATGATTACATAAATCTAAATATTTTTGTTTGTTTAAATAGAGTTTACGATCCAGGTATTTTTTTTTTCCAATTACCGTAAAGTCCAGAAAGATAGCACCCCTTTTTACAACTGTGTAACAGTTGTTTTCAAATGATTTTAAAGTAGGGAAGGCATTAAAAAATCAATTCATTAAATTATATTATTATTTTATTTTATAGCATTTCAAAATACAGCAGTCGCAAAATCAAAAATTACTTATATTAATGGTGATGCTGGTATTTTAAGATATCGGTAAGTATTTTTGATTGGTTATAAGAGAGGAGAGATATTAATATTATTATAATACAACATTAATAATAACAAATTAAATAAATTAGTGGATACCCAATTGAACAACTTGCTGAGAAATCTACATATCTTGAAGTTGCTTATCTATTAATTTATGGAGAACTTCCTACTAA